ATAATACTGAATACTTCCAAAATTTGCAGAGAGAAAGAAGATACACAGTCGTTTTACCAGTAACGAATCGGTTAGTTGTTATGTCTTGCACGCAGCCTACATGGTTGAAGTTCTAAATGTTCTTGGTTGTTATTTAAATTGTATTTCTATGCTTTTCAAATATGTGGTACCAAAATTCCCAAAATATGAATGGTACAGACACAGAGATGTCAATTACAACATCCCCCATTTTCCTAGTTTCGAATTGATTTTTCAGTATCGAATCAAGAACCCTTTCCTATTGCTGACCCAATAAATAAAATCGACAGGTCTAAATAATTGTTGAAATATGCCTTCAAGAAAATTCTACGTAAAGTATATTAACATAACTTGTTGATTTAAATGATTTTTTTTTCTAAATCTAAACAGTATGAAAAATTTGCATTTTATGATAAACTTTTCGTGATATGTTTTAATAAAATTAAATCAATCATCTCAGAGACATAATTTTCATGGAATATCTTTGCTTGTAATTTATTTTGGTAGTACTTTCACTTTTCTGAGCTTTTCATGTTCTTGCATCCCGTAAAACGACATTTTTCAAATTTCAAAAATTCATGATTCGAAACTATAGCAAAACAACATGTGGTTAGTTTGGATCTTATAATTTCATTTAAAAGTCAATTATTGTTCAATTTAATATTTAAACTTGTTACATTTATCCTAGATATTGATAACATAATCTGGATCAACAACACACTGAAAAGTTTGATTTAGATGCATTTGTTAACACACTTTCGTTTTCTCTGACTTGCACTTGCACGTGCTCAAATCTGGGACATTGTTTCAGATTGTAAATAGTGTGAAAAATAATCATGCATATGTTACATAGACACAACACAGGGATAGAATATTCATCCTTTTATTGTATTTACCTATTAAGAAATTTTTAAACCTGTCAATATGTTTATGAAGAATAATTAGATTAAAAAATATTCGATACTGGCAAATATTCGTTTCTGGTAAAACAACTGTACTTCCTTTTTAAACTCTTTGAATCTACCATTATTTAATTGCACCAAATAAACATATCTGTGAATGCATACATGCTGATGCATGAACTGTGTAAAGACTTTGATAGTACAAGCACTACTTCCAATGTCACATTGTAATCATACTTGGATATATATATTTATATATCATCGGTCTAAATTCGTTACGGTTCTAGACTGACCTCGAGTCGTGCCCCTTTTGTTTTCCTCAAGAATCTTGCATGACTGTCACGAATACAAGTTGCGCAAAACCACTCAGGTCGAACACGTATTTGGGACGTAACAACTCGTCACCGTTCAAGCATAGGTGTTCGCTTGTGTTGTTTCTGTCACTGGTATTTTTTTTTAATATTATACAAGTAAATTTTACACAAGATCAAGCCCTTGTTCAACACGCATAGAATATTGCATACATCAAAGCAATAAAACGTAAAATAAAACATACCATACAATAAATACCTTTTAATAGCACAAGAGAAGGTATTATCAAAGACTGTTTATATCCCTCAAATTTCTAAAAGAGAGTAAATGAAACCTGCAACTTCTGACCACGCTGTCTATCGTACAATATGGCGACTGTATGCAAATTTTTGTGAACATCGAACCCGACTAAATTTCATTTATCGTTAAATTTTATAGGTTTCACGACAATTGGATTCATAATTGAAAAAAATTTAGAGATACGTAATATTTCAACTTATTATATTTTGTTTACTTATGTTAGAAGTCTTATTCAAATCAGATCAGACCTTTAAGAGAAGTAGCACTTTAAACAAATTTCACACTTATAATAATACTTTTGTTAGTAAGGCACCACCATTTATCGAAATAAAAATTGAAAAGTAGCATTAAGTTCATTTCCTTGTGTATAAATTTTTAATAAAATCAGATAATTACTGTGGGAGGAGAAGGGTTTTAAAAGTATTTCACATAATTTTTTATTTTTTGTAACCATGGCAACACCATTCATCAAAATCAGAATCAAATGCACTAAATCATGTATCTTAGTGTAGTCTACTTGTGCGCCAAGTTATATTGAAATCAGACCAAAACTGAAGGAGGAGTAGCGTTTTTAAAGGAATTTCACAGAAAATTCTATTTTAAGTAACCATGGCAACACCGTTCATCAAAATCAAAAACCGATGCACTAAATTATGCATCCTAGTGTAGTCTACTTGTGTGCCAAGTTATAATGAAATCAGACCAAAACTGAAGGAGGAGTAGCATTTTAAAGGAATTACACAGAAAATTCTATTTTTAGTAACCATGGCAACACCGTTCAAAAAAATCAAAAACCGATGCACTAAATTATGTATCCTAGTGCAGTCTACTCGTGTGCCAAGTTATATTGAAATCAGACCAAAACTGTAGGAGGAGTAGCGTTTTAAAGGAATTTCACAGAAAATTCTATTTTTAGTAACCATGGCAACACCGTCCAAAAAAATCAAAAACCGATGCACTAAATTATGTATCCTAGTGTAGTCTACTTGTGTGCCAAGTTATAATGAAATCAGACCAAAACTGAAGGAGGAGTAGCATTTTAAAGGAATTACACAGAAAATTCTATTTTTAGTAACCATGGCAACACCGTTCATCAAAATCAAAAACCGATGCACTAAATTATGTATCCTAGTGCAGTCTACTTGTGTGCCAAGTTATATTGAAATCAGACCAAAACTGTAGGAGGAGTAGCGTTTTAAAGGAATTTCACAGAAAATTTTATTTTTAGTAACCATGGCAACACCGTTCATCAAAATCAAAAACCGATGCACTAATTTATGTATCCTAGTGTAGTCTACTTGTGTGCCAAGTTATATTGAAATCAGACCAAAACTGAAGGAGGAGTAGCGTTTTAAAGGAATTTCACAGAAAATTCTATTTTTAGTAACCATGGCAACACCGTTTATCAAAATCAAAAACCGATGCACTAAATTATGTATCCTAGTGCAGTCTACTTGTGTGCCAAGTTATATCAAAATCAGACCAAAACTGTAGGAGGAGTAGCATTTTGAAAAAATTGTTTACAGACAGACGGACAGACAGACAGACAGACAGACAGACAGACAGACGGACGGACGACGGACACCTTACTATCGCATAAGCTCTTCTGGTCTCTGACCAGTAGAGCTAAAAATTATGTCACACTGTTGGCATGATCAGCTATATCTATCAATTGCAAACATGGAAGCCAGTGCAAGATATGTCAAAATTTCAAGGTGTAACAAAACATTTAATCACCGTGTTCTCGGGCGAAATGCGTTTTGTTAACCCCTTGAACCAAACCGTTTGATTTCAGCCTGACGGTCTCAGGCAAATGGTTAGGTTGTTGGGTTTGACAGAAGGCACGTTTCCCTCAAGCCCAGTCAATAACTGTACATTACTGCAAGCATGGAAGTCGGCACAAGATTTGTCAAAAAGGTACAAAACATATACCGGTACCGACAGTGTTCTGGGGTAAAATGCAGTTTGTCGACCCCTCAAAATAAACTATTTGCCCGAGGCCATTACAGGCAGTTTGGTTTTTGGGTGCGACAAAATGCATGTTGACTCAAGAACTCTGTCATCAAATGTATGATGTAGTTGAATTCAGTTTTTTTTGCAAGTTTTAATGCAAAAGGGTTGAAATAATATCCAAATTAATGCCATTATTCTCCAGGTAGTGTTAAATCCAGACCCTAAAAAGGGCATGGTAATCCAATAATCAAAAGGGCACTTTACGCCGCGACAAGTTTTCATGAGGGCACTTTTTTAACGTCTTTGAAATTATAAATATTTTCTTTATCATGTTTATGTACTTAAATTATTATTTAATACTGAAATCTTTAGTTATACAAGTATCTAAAAGAAAAATTTATAAATCTGTCAGCTTAATTCATTTAATACACACTGAGAGGGAAATTATTGCCAAAATTGAAATTCAAATTTTTTAATCAAGAAATTAGTATGGTTATCAAGGTTATGCTTAAAAAGTAATAGGTGTGAATCTTTTTGTCACTTGCTCAAGAATTATTTTAGTCTGGGGTATGATTTTTTTTCCTTTGCTTTAATATTGTTATTTGTATATGAGGTAAATAACAGAACAAAATTGCAAAGGGGGGGGGGGGGGGGGTTACTTGGATAATAAATGTAGAGGGCATTCTCTTTATTTTGAAAATAATCTATCAACAAAATCAAGTGAAAACTGATTATACCAAAAAAATTAAACTTGAAATAATATATAAATTGGTTAAAACTTTTTTTCTGGCTTAGAAACATTGAGCCTCTGGGTGTCAACTCAAAAAGTAGAACACAGAATCATTGAACATGTTGAAAGAAACTAACTTCATACTTTGTTGTTTCCTAGCCCATTTCACACATAATATTCAGGGTTTTTTTTGTACTGTACATTGTAAGTTGACTTAATTCATCAGCAGATTTATTTTTCACATTTCTTCATCAACTCTGTTTTTTCTACTTTCAATTTTAAAAGAAACGATCCTGATTTAAAATGTGTAACATTTTAATTTACAAATTAATCTATCTTTGACATTGGGCTAATTCTTGCATAATCAATGCAACCAAATGATATTTTCTCGTGTTATCTCTTATACCCTAACAGCCTGAGGCATGTTACCTGGCCAGGTGGCTGTGTGCGTTCAAGCGAGAAGTGATTTCCTGTCCTGAATTCACACCTTTGCGTGCATTAAATAAACAAAGGGGCTAATCAGCATGCACTGAATAAACAAAGCCGCTAGTCCATCTTGCCTCTGCTAGGCATATTTATATATTTTTGCAAAAAAAGGGCATGGCGCTGGAAAAAAGGGCATGGCGCCGAGAGAAAAGGGCATGGCGCTGCGCCATGCTAGTTTGCTTTAGATTTAACACTATAATCTCCAGTTAAATTATATATTTTCACTCCTTTGTTAATGATGACATCATTCAAGTAGTGCCCAACTTTTATGTTATTCATTCATCCAGAAAGATAAGAAGTCTCGTATTCAATCATTTATTTTGAAAAAAACAAATTTACGATTAGATAACACTGGTACAATCATGATCATACAAACAAAAGTTTTTTACGCATGTCAAGTTTAATATTCTAAAAGTAAAACATGAAGTTTGATGGGATGGGAATGAAGTCCAATGATAACTTAACAAAACGTTTCCCTTGCTTTCTATCACAGTCACATTTTCACGATTTTTTTCACACAGTCATGTTCACCTTCAATTTTTAATCCACTTCTTCCATTCTTGAAGCATCATCTTCATCGCCTTCCAGTGGGGGCATCTCTTCAGGGGTGGCCTCCTGTGCCTCAGGCATTTCTTCCTCGTCAATGCCTTCAAATAAAAAAAATTATTGATAATCTACATCATGCATTATAAAAAAAGATGTAAGCCAATACTGAACAAACTTAAGATAAATCACATACCAAGACCAAGTTTGATCATTCGGTGGATTCTGCTGGCATGAGTTCCTGGCTCCTCCAGACTGAAGCCTGATGCAAGAAGAGAAGTTTCAAACAGCAACATGACCAAGTCCTTTACAGACTTGTCATTTTTGTCAGCCTCAGCCTTTTCCTTCAGGGACTTGATGATGGAGTGATCAGGGTTGATCTCAAGGTGCTTCTTGGCAGCCATGTATCCCATGGTACTGGAGTCGCGTAGTGCTTGGGCCTTCATGATTCTCTCCATGTTTGCTGACCAACCATACTGACTGGTTACAATACAGCAAGGTGATGTTACCAAACGATTAGATACAACCACCTGTTACAGAAAATGAAAAAAAAAAAATGCTCATCTTTCATCACTGCAACATACACTCTTTACCTAGAAACCTGACATCATTTAATAATCTTGACATTTCAACCATGAGTTTTGTGAAGAATTACTAGAAATTACTACTGGAAACTACATTTTCATGTGACCCTAAAGAAACAAGAACTTGGTGGCTCAATCTACTTAAAATGTCAACTTCGATTACCTTCTCAACTTTCTTGTCCAGGATTTCCTTCATAACTTTGCAAAGCCCCTCATACTCAGCTTTTTGCTCCTCAAATCTCTTTTTCTCTTCCTCATCCTCTGGGAGTTCCAGACCCTCCTTGGTGACATTTACCAGGGACTTTCCATCGTACTCCTTAAGCTGCTGTACAGCATATTCATCAATAGGGTCTACCATGTAAATCACTTCCATTCCTAGAAAGAACAAAATGGGTAGGAAACAATACATCCCAATAGCAATTGTATACAATTCCTGTTAAATAAACAAGTAAACATTTTTTTCAAGTGCTTTTAATCAGATATTTGCTTACCCCTCTTCTTAACACGTTCCACAAATGCTGAGTTCTGTACCACCTCCTTGCTCTCTCCTGTGATGTAGTAGATGCTCTTCTGATTTTCTTTCATCCTGGAGACGTATTCTTTCAGGGATGTCATTTCATCACCCGAGTGTGATGAATAATACCTCAAGAAGTCTGCCAGTTTCTTCCTGTTTGTGGAATCCTCATGAATACCAAGCTGTTAATAACAAAGCATTGACAATAAATAGATAATGTTACCTTGACGAGGCATTAAGCTTTGAAATTTCAAATAATAGTAAATTTCCCAGAAAAATCACATACCTTTAAATTTTTAGCAAACTGTTCATAGAATTTCTTGTAGTTGTCTTTGTCCTCTGTCAGGTCTTCAATCAGTTCCAGACATTTTTTCACAAGATTTTTCCTAATCACTTTGAGAATTTTGCTCTGTTGGAGCATTTCTCTGGAAATGTTCAGTGGCAAATCCTCAGAATCCACAACACCCCTAACAAAGTTCAGGTACTCAGGAATGAGTTCTTCACAATTGTCCATGATAAAGACTCTGCGCACATACAATTTGATGTTGTTCTTTTTCTTTTTGTTTTCAAACAAGTCAAATGGAGCTCTCCTTGGGATGAACAATAAAGCTCGGAACTCCAATTGTCCCTCCACTGAGAAGTGCTGCAATATACATAAACTCAGATGATATTCATGAATATAAACATACCATGTGCAACGAGATCTTCAGTATTTTACACAAGAAAAGTTCAACACAAGTTACAATTTTTAATATTTAAAGGGAGATCACTAAAAGTAAGAATTGTCTGCATCCTACCTTAACAGCCAGGTGGTCCTCCCAATCATTGGTAAGGGACTTGTAAAACTCGCCATATTCCTCCTGGGTAATGTCATCTGGGTTTCTGGTCCAGATGGGCTTTGTTTTGTTCAGCTCCTCATCCTCGGTATATTTTTCCTTGATGGTTTTCTTTTTCTTTTTATCCTTGTCTTTGCTGTCATCTTCCTCATCCTCGTCTAGGTCTTCCACCTTGGGTTTGTCTTCTTCTTTCTCTGCCTTATCTTCCTCTTTTTTCTCTTCCTCCTCTTCATCATCGGACACTTCCTTGTCACGCTCTTTCTCCACTAGGAGTTTGATGGGATATCCAATGAACTGGCTGTGTTTCTTTACTACTTCTTTGATTCTCTTCTCCTCGCAATATTCAGTTTGATCCTCTTTGAGGAAAAGTGTGATCTTAGTCCCACGACCAAGTGTATTCTCTGTGAATATAAAAATCCAGTTTAACAATTCAACTTCACTTCTTTATCATAAAATGAAGATCATATTCAAATACCATTCAAACACAACTTGGTACATTGCATATCAATTTTGCATAGACCACACCCCCCCAAAAAATTGTATATATCCATGTTTTAGGCAACAAACTGCCAAGTTTTTGAGACTGTGGTCTCAAATTTGACAAATCCTTTTATCAAATGACACAAAATCTCACCTGCAGCAGTTCTGACTGTGAAGGAGCCACCAGCAGCAGATTCCCATATGTACTGCTCATCATCATTATGTTTGGTCTCCACCACAACTCTGTCAGCAACCAAGTAAGCAGAGTAAAATCCCACACCAAACTGACCAATCATAGAAATGTCAGCTCCAGCCTGCAGAGCTTCCATGAAGGCTTTGGTACCAGATTTGGCAATGGTTCCAAGGTTGTTTACTAAATCAGCTTTTGTCATTCCAATTCCTGTGTCAATGATGGTAAGTGTTTTGTTTTCTTTGTCTGGAATTATGCGGATTTCCAAATCTTTCCCAGAGTCCAATTTTGATGGATCTGTAAGACTTTCATATCTGATTTTATCAAGGGCATCTGAAGCATTGGAAATCAATTCTCTCAAGAAGATTTCTTTGTTGGAGTAGAATGTGTTGATGATCAAGCTCATCAACTGGGCAATCTCAGCCTGGAAGGCAAAGGTCTCAACTTCACCATCATCCATCTGTTCTGGCTCAGGCATCTGTGAAAAAAACCCAATCTTTTGTATGATGAAAACAGCTAGATGTAACTATACTGCAAAAATATTTGTTTGATAATATTCATAACAAGGGTGCCCCCTACCAATGTTGACTAGTAAATTATCATGCCACATCTAAATGCCACTTGCAAAGCAATGATAGGTATTATTTACAAAAATTTAGAAAATCTTTTGGTAAAAAAAAAAATCCCTACCTACCTACCCCTTTTTTTTATGGAGGTGTAACCAGAACCATAGATAGAATGTTCTATCGTTAAAATGATAAATGTCCTACGGACCCTGTTTAACGATAGAATGTGTTCCGTGTATTGTCAATGTAGCAAAGAAAATACGGGAGATAACTCTCAGTGCATACACTATGAAAAATTCCGAGAGTTCCGAATGTCAACATGGTGTGTAAATTTGAAATGAGTAAAAAACGTTGGTGAAAAAAGTGAATTCTTCCATTATACAGATTAAATATTTAGATGAAAGGTACTTACAGTCTCAAAAAGGTTTGTTATGATTAATTTAACTGTAATTTTCAATGCAACTTCATTCATTTTCTCCAAAATCGTTTCGGAGCGATTCTGCAATTTTCTGCTACATTACGGATATATGGGAGGCATTCAACTGTGGTGAGGGCCTGTCCCGAGACACAGATTATTCTAACTACCAGAACCACACATATTTTTGTTTGGCCTTATTCTTATTGAACTGTAGTAGGAGTAGCTTTTAAAAATAATTTTTAAAATTTTGTTACAGATAAATGACAGACAAGTTTACTATCGCATGTCCTCTGGTTTCTGACCAAACTTCCTTGCTATTGCTATTGCATAGGGGTGGGACGATACACAGATCTTGCCATAAGATATGTATCTCGATACATATAGCACGATACGATACGTATCTCGATATTATGATAAATTATAAAACTATTAAAAAAACTTAGTATTTGTTTTTATTTTTTGTCTTGACAATAAATCAACAAATCATTCTATATCAAATCATATCTGATATTTGAAATTAATACTTGAAGTTCATCAATTTCATTGACTAAATATTTACAAAAACAATATTATTTGTACGTATTGCCAAATGTCCATAAACAACTTGTTTATAGAAAGTTGGGTAGTTCATCAAGAACACTGACTAAAAATTCATTAAAAAGAAAAACATCACATGTACATTATTATTAATTGCTGAAAGTCTGCAACCAAGCTGAGTTTACAAAAAAAAAAATATTAATCCACAATTTGTTTCAAAATTTCAAATTCTTGAAATTAGAAAATCCATGCCTTGTTATGAGCTGTTCGAGCCAGATGGACTAACAATTAATAATATCAACTACTGTGGAAACGATACTTTCTGTATATCACACGTTTTACCGGCTTTACATACGGAACTTTTCTTGTCCCATCTTCCGAGGATACTTAAAAGTGAAAATGTTTTATCCCTTATCTCCGACTTGTAAGTTCTAAAGCGTGTTGTCAATATCAATATCATCTCTTCACTTTGTACAAGCCGCCATTTTTCAAGGACGAGTACTTTCATTTTCAATTTTTGGATAAGTTGTTCGTGTATCTTTTCGTACCGATATTTTAAGGCATGTATCGTAAACCATATCTTAGCAGAAAATATCGATATGTATCGGTGTATCGGTATATCGTCCCACCCCTACTATTGCATTCAATTTATATATGCAGATTTGCATTATTTATAGCCAAAATAAAATTTTGCTTTTTTTGCACAGTAAATTTTAAAGATACCATCTGGGATATTAAATTCCAAATGGGCTATTATATCACAACCTGACAAGAATTTCGGTACATTCTTCATGAAAGAGGGGACTTAAAATTGCTACTTCCTAATCAGCGACTTTTTTTTAAAACTCTTAATATTAAGCTTTTATCCACAATTTATGATCTTCCTTTTGCTATCTACAGAAAAACGCAAGCTTTGCCACTGTCAATATTATGCTGCAGCCAAGTATCACATCAATACAATTTCTGCCAATACTCAGGGCAGATACTGGTTGAAAAAAATCAATACTCAATACGGAGAAAAATTGAGGTTGGATACTTAAAATACCCCACCCCCTTTTCACGAAATGTATACTGAGAAAAGAACAAAGTATATCTATAAATCAGTGTCGGTTGGCGCATGGCTTAACGCACGTGGTCCAAGATCACGCTCTCCATGACAGTTTGCAAAAAAAATTAAAAGGCAATTTACTATAATTAGCAAAAATTAACCTAATTTCCCAAAGATCAGAACACATTTAAAACGTTTGAAAAAATTTGATTCAAAATTCTTACCTTAACGTATTAGAAGAAAATTCAGCAAGACAAGCTGGTCAGCGTCCACCGGTGTCAAACCCACGTTGTTGAAGTGAGTAACACACAATGATGCGCAACGATATCTGTGTAATATGTGCAAATATCGAAATAAATAAGGCAAACACAAATTAACTAATACATAAATAAGCGAAAGTATGGGATATCAGCGCAAAACATTTTATTTGACATTATACCTTTCTGATTTACTATTTGATTCTGGACCTATTTTGTGTATAGCGCAGTCGTACTCGTTTATATAAAGTAAATCGCTCCAGTCGAGAAGATTCGAGCGGAAGTGATATCATAGTTCCAGATCTTTCTGCGGAAGTTTGGAACGCTGAGCCGATTTCTAGAAATTCTAGAAATCGTACGAAAAAGTCTGTATATTGCGCATATCAGACAGACAAGGCCCAGTCTATTCTAGAAATAGCTAGGCCTGATGATTTTGCAGATTTCCGAATTGAGAAAGTAAATAATAACAAAAATAATAACGAATAAAACAAATATTTGGAACAGGGGAAAGAGAAAAAACACGCAAAAAATTGACATAATTTAATTTTTTTTTGGGGGGGGGATTTTACTAGACATTATCCTTTTTAAATTTATGTATTTTTTCCCTTCACTTACCGTATAAAAAGGGCATAGGGAACCTGGCAACCCCATCCCCTTTGGTTTTTTTTGGGGGGGGGGGGTTAATATATAATGCTAAATAAAAGATATATATATATATATATATATATATATATATATATATATATATATATATATATATATATATATATATATATATATATATATATAAACAATTATCAAAGTTAGATCAATGAACGACATATACAGTAAAATTACCATGTATAGATTTATTTTGTCCTCTCACGCATCTTACTGCCAGAGGGGTCATATATGGGCTCTACCCACTGGCTGCCACAGGGGTCACATATGTCCCATCAAAAGTATTTTATATAAAAAAGTATTGATCTATTCAATGTTTAAGTTTATAAATCATGTATTTATTTAAGCATTTATTTGCTCCAAGTAATAAAAATTGTAACGTTATCTTGGCAAATATTGAAAGACAACCGTGATACAATGACGACGTCAAACTCACAGTGATGACGTCAAAAACGTCACAATACATACAGGGCATATTCAAGACACTTTGCAATGGACTTTGCAAATTATAAATGAAACGGTCTTTGATTTTTTTTGGTACTTTTACTATAGATTAACTTTAAGAGTCACCAAAAAAAGAATAATGATAATGACTTCATAAAATATCATAGCCTATTTTAAAGACATAGCTTAGAATCTTTGTTAGTGCTTATAGTTTGCAAAGTATGATAAGTATACTTGTATTGTCTTAATTTTTATTCATAGAAACATACATAGAATTTAAGATGTATCTTTCCCTTTCGTGTTATTAAGGGGACGACTATTTAAAAAAAGGGGGGGGGTGTCAGATTTTGGAATTAAACAATCTGCCCTTGAAAATTTTGTTAATAAATCATCTCTTCTACCTTAGGAAGAAACTTTTTCTGGTAAAGAAAGTAAATAAAAATAAAATTTTAAAATTGTATACCTTGTAAATAAATACTGTTGATCATTTTTTATTCGCGAGAACTTCATTTTCGCGTAATTACGCGAGACATTGTGCTCGCGAAAATTTCATTCTCGCGTTTAGAAGTATTCCTAAAAATTATATAGAGCAATTACCACATAAATCGAGAAAATTACCCCCTCCACCTAACTTTCCTCTCAGTATTTTAATTTTCAAAGGTCAGTTTGTAATAAATATCCGTTTTGTGAATTACTGAAATTTTGATTTTATAGTCTAGGATTGCTAAACGATCTTGGGGCCTGAGTTTATACAGAAAAATTAGATTATGAATTTTTAGCTGATCAGAAATAAATCAGATGTTTATGGCTATTTAGTAAACTTCACTCTAAAAACTTGATTTCGGGAATCAAAAGAAAAATATGGAATGGGAATTTCAGAAAATCAAACCAGGAGTACATGTACTACATGTACAAGTGAATCATGGGACGTACAGACGCCATTTTTTTTAAAAGAAGGAAAATAGTTTAATTTATGTTTTGAAATAGTGCATCTTCAATAAATCTTTCTTCGATTAATATATTACAATTTAATGTATATATCAAAAGATCTACAGATAGAATATTCGCTTGATTTGTTATACATTTGTAAATTCGGTGACTGCGGGATGTCACACGAAGAAAAAACTTTTCCTCCCGCACCAACTATTTTTACATATTGAACGATCCATTCCTGAGAAACACTAACTTATTTCCTGAATTCCGATATGTTTCTGAGAAAATAAAATCGTTCGCACTTTGTGCATATATTCCTCTGACAATTTCTTTATATAGTAGTAACGAGACAGAATACTTGAAATACATTTTTAGCGGGATTAATATTTCCTGGTTTTTATAAATTACAGTGGCATAGCTTCTATGTATGCTTGCATGCCTAAGCATCCACATTATTATTATTTTTTTAAGAAAAATACAAAATTCTTTGAAAAGAGAACGTATTTTAATAAATTGGTATCAGTGTTCAAAGATAAATTCTTTTGCATTATCCAAACACTGCATACTCAATCTAACACTCCTAAATGTTGTCAATTTCCGTGGATCCCCCCAACCCCCGGCTGGGGGAAGACTAAACGCTTCCCCAGACCCCCTAGCTTGATTCAGAAAAAGCATCCACATTATTTTTGCCTATAGCCACGCCACTGAAATAAACATCTATAACATTATTCCTGTTCTCATCCTTAAGCTGTTGTTTTGAAAATTTTCATTATTTGCCACCGACCTTGATATCAACATATCCATCAATGAAAGAACCAGAAAGGTGGAGGACAAATTGCTAATAACGCACATGGATGCATATTACTGCTGGATGCTTGTTCAATTCAAAGGCATTTTTGAGGCGAAATCATCGCCTTTTTTTTTTTTACACTTGATAGTTAAATTATAACAGTGTATTGATATGAATAAATTTAATAGCTACCCAAGTAATACTTGTATAACCTCGGTTGAATTAGTTTACATTTTTAAACGACATTCATCGATTGGATATGATCTTCTACAGTTTCTGAATTCTCTCAGAAACAGGCCGTTTATCCGTAAAAAACATTCTTGAGGAGATTGGTGATTTCCACGTTTGTTAAAAGGAAAATCGTGCGAGAGTTGAACATATTCTGCACCAAATGTAGGAAAGCCGATTGTCCTTTCATTCAGGATTGTTTCAATTTCAATGCTAAATTGACCGTCAAAGAAGTGTCTGGGATTGGGGAGGGGGGCTTGGGATTTGAAATGATTTCTCCTTTTTTCGATCCTCTGCTTTGACTATTACTAGTATATTTGTTCTGCACAACAAACGTATTTATAAGAATACTTATACAACTGGTCTGTTTTACCAAATATCTAACGACTATCAGAAAAATGTATTTTATGATTACATGTAACTTAATTACTTTTCTTCTTTACATTAAATTTTTGAAAATAAAATTTATTTTACAACAATTTTGAAATATCGAAATTTTCATGCAAGCAATACTATTTAACAATATGACTACATGTAATTAAAGAAATGTTGTGTTCTGCAATTACACGTAAGCTGTGTGTTTCTTTTACATTCCATATGTTTCAGATAGTTCATGTATACGTCATTCTTTAGATTTGCCTAAAGATTTCCATTAACCCTGCTTACAATCAGCAGAAAATTTTGAACAGAATAATTAATCAAATTTGTAAAATTAGGCCCATCAGATTTTAATATCATCGCATTAGACGGGACATGTATGAATTTTAAATTCTTAAAGTGGGACATATATGAATTTTAAATTCTTAAAATTACTGTTTGAGTTTCATAACTTATATGTTGTCGACGTTTCAGTCCAATATCCATAGTAAGGAATTTCATTTGGGGGTGTTGGAGGGGGGGGGGGGCTATCAAACAGAAATTCTTTGATAAGCTAAAAAAAAGTATACAGGCGCTATTTATGTTAATATTGGAAGGGGGGCAAGCTAAAGTAACTATGTTTATATATTGTACTAGCTTTGTTTCCCACAGTCTACCATATATCGGTAAAGCTAAGGATGTGTTACGGCCCCCATGCCCCCCCGCCCCCACCCCCGGTTTCTATGGCCATGACGTAGACCAACTCCACATGCACGCCTTTACATCAAACAATTTTCTCAATGACTGAATGTTCCAAAAACAGTTTATGATATTTATTAATTTCACCAACCCAAACCCCCCAGCACCCCTCCAAATATTTGTAACACATCGTTTGCTTAGCCCCCCCCCCCCCGCGATATTCAGCTAGATCTACTTCTGTAAGAAACATCTTATTTGAAATTATGTGTCAAATTTATGAAAATTTCTCTTTTTTTCTGCACTTGAAATTCTCAGATAAAATATGCTTTGTTTGAATTCGTCTCTCGGCAAAAATGAGATAATACATTGTATATAATTTAACGAGCTTCGATCCCTAGTAAATATTATATTATAGGCCTAAACATTTTAAAAAATACTGGTAACGTAGGATTTTTTTGTATCCCAGCGGATCGAATAGACATACAGAATAATCTTATTTATTTTGTCCAAAAAAAAAATTCTAGGAGAAAAGTGTGGGGTTTATTTAGATGACGTTTTCCTATTTTTATAGCAAAAGGAAGAAGCGTTTTACATAAAATACTAGTTGAATTTATAACTAGAATACTTTTAAATTATGTTATTCTCTCTTCTAAATGAGAGATTTATAAGTTGTAATTTAAACAGCAGGAAGAAAAAAAATCAACTCATTATTGCGTTTAAAATGTTCTTTTATTAAATACTCTTTTACATTATGATTTTTATTACTTTGACAAATTACGCGGACTTTTTCTTACGACTGTGACGTAATATTAGCAAAGGCCAAAGGAGCTGACGTAATTAACTCAGAAGTTGAAATGTCCTTGTGTTCGTTATTTAGTAAATTTATAAAATTATTACAATAAAGAATTTATCTTCAGGATGTTGCT